AAGACCATCAATTTCTGGAAACTTATGAGTTCAGAGCCACTGGACTAAAATTCAATAAGCTGAATTCCTGCTCAGGTGCATATAATTGGTAGGCCCTCTATATATGGTGAAGATGGGCTGCTTTGTCAGGGATTTCCAGAGTCTAAGCATTAGCCATCTCCCATGTTTCATGTAAACCACTGCTCATATGTCAGTGGGATACAAAGGAAAGTGCTGAATTGAACAAGTAAGTTTGAGTGTATTTTCCATCATCACTCACTCACTAGGAGCCCTCAGTGGTGCAGTGGGTTAAACTCTTGTGCCGGCAGGACTGAAGACCGACAGGTCGCAGGTTTGAATCCAGAGAGAGCATGGATGAGCTTCCTCTATCAGCTCCAGCTTCCCATGCGGGGACATGAGATGAGCCTCCCACAAGGATGGTAAAACGTCAAAACATCCAGGTGTCCCCTGGGCAATGTCCTTGTAGACGGCCTGTTCTCTCATATCAGTTTCTTAAGTCAGTCCTGACACACACATAAAAAAATCTTCACTCACATTTCGAGATCTGTTAAACAAATAGGAAAGAGGTTTTAAAAACATTTTTGCATGTTTCATGCATTTGGGACTATCCCCCCCCCCCCTTTGATACAACATCCACAATGTTTGGGGGTCAATTACAGTATGATATACTTCACTCAGATAGTTTGGAAAAAGATGAATTGGAAGCACAAGGTATTTCAGGTGAGGTCTGACCAAAGCAGAAAAGAGGGGTGCCATGACTTCCCTCGATCTAAACAATATACTCCTTCTGATGAAGCCCACAATCCCATAGGTTTTTTTTTAGCTGCAGCATCACATTGTTTGATCATGTTCTGCTTCTTGACCACGGAACTCCAATTTTCCCCCCACATGTATTGTTGTTGAGCTAGGCATCACACATTCTGTTTCTTTGCGTTTCTTTTTTTCAGCCCAAGTTTAGTAACTTACGTTTGTCCTTTCTGAAATTAATTCTGTTAGTTTTGGCCCAAGTCATTAATCTGTTGAGGTTTTTGAATTCTGATCCTGTGCTCTGGAATATTAGCTTTCCTATTTTGGTGCCATCTGCAAAGCTGATAGACATGCCCTCTAAACCTTCATCTAAGTCATTAATAAATATGTTGAACAGAACGAGACTCAGGACCGAATGCTGTGGCACCCCACTAGTCACTTCTTTCCAGGATAAGGAGGAACCATGGGTGAAAACTCTTTGGGATTGGTCGCTTAACCAATTATAGATCCACTTAATAGTAGCATTGCCTAGCCCACATTGGACAAGTTTGTCTGCAAGAAAATCATGAGGGCCACACTGAAATCGTTTTACGTCCACAGCATTCCTTCCATCTACTAAGCTTGTAACTCTATCAGGGGTGGGGGAGATAAGATTATCCTGGCATGACTTGTTTTTAAGAAATCCACATTGACTTTTAGTGATCACAGTATTCCTTTCTATGTAGTTTCAGACTGCTTCCTTAATGATCTTTTACAGAATCTTCCGTCATATTGATGTCAAACAGACTGTTTGGGTCCTCCTTTTTTCCCTTCTTGAAAATAGGAACAACATTTGCCCTCCTCCAATCTGCTGGGACTGTTCTCCAAAACTCCTCAAAGATTATTGCCAGTGGTTCTGAAATGGCTTCTGCTAATTCCTTCAATACTCTTTGTTGTAGTTCATCTGGTTCTGGAAACTTTAATTCATTCAGAGTGTCCAGGTATTCCTGGACTACTTCTTTACCTATTTTGCATTTCCCCTATTACTTCTTCCACTCCATATTGCTCAGGTCGAAAACTGATTTCTTTTTGTGAGAAGACTGAGACAAAGAAGGTGTTTAGTTGTTCTGCACTTTCCCAACCCTGTCAGCATTCCACCATCTTCTCCATTAAATTTAAATTAGTTTTATTGGACAGTAACATGCTATCTTTTTGTTGGTTTGCTTTTTGCAGATGTAGACGCTGTGTGTACATTTTTAAAATTTGGAACAAGTATTCACCTACTTCTCATGTCCTAACCCATCAAAGCTAACGTCCCCTTGGTTCTCTTTGTGTGGTTGAGTAGTTTTTCCTCACTTTCCAGTTTGTCTTTGTGTCTTTCTGTTTCCATTCACTAAGACTACTATTTTTAGGAAAACCTGTAGCACAAGTTGAAGTAATGACCAGCAAAACAAGAAGAGTTGCCACAGCCTGTATTGTATTTGTTTGGAGCTGATAATACAATCAGATCTATATTCTATAGTACATATAGTATAAAGTTGTTGTTGCATACCTTCAAGTCATTTCTGACCTCTTAGAAATTATTTGCCCAGTAAGTTTCCAAGGTTAAAGCAGCTTTCAAACCCTGTTCTCCAGAGTCATAGTCCAGTATTTAAATCACTGTATCATGCTGACTCTGTAGTAAAGTACAGTGGATCCAAAGCATCATGAAGCTTTTGAATCATTTATCTGGATCCTCATGCAACTACAGTCTTCTGTTTTGTAGACAGCAATGGTTTTAGGGAAAAAACATGAACAAAACATTATAGGGGTGTTATATTAATACTTCACATGTGGTACAGTTTATCTTTGCCAATTTGAAGAGTTAGACTTTCAATTGCACATCTTAAGACAACAGTGCCACCACGTGGTCAGTGAAACAATCATTCTATTTTTTTAAGTGCATACCTTCTGGATATTTCAAAGGAGGGAACTGGCAAAGGTTCCTATGAAAATCAGGGGGTGCCATATGTGAGCAGGTGACTTCAAGACATATGGATACATATGTACTAGTTATTCACTACAGGTATATCTTGCATAGCAGTCTAAATTATAAAATAGATGATAAAAATCAAATAATTAATAGTATTATTGCTTTGTTCAGAACGTTGATCATTTCCTTATATTAGTGTTAACCTTAAAAGTAATTACTTTACTTTCACCAAGTTACAAACCCCACACATATAGGATTAGTTGGTTTGACCTTGGCCATGAGGTCAGATGTCTTTAGGCACCTCCTGATGGCAGTGGAAGTTATCATTGGGCGGCTTAAGTACTTCTGGTTGCTTTTTAGACCAGAGTATCAGGTTTATCAATCAAGAGGATGGTTGGTTGATACCTGGATCTGATGCAAATAAGTTTGGGCCAACTCTATTTATAGGTGTAACCAATCAAGTTCTGGTCTTTTTTGTTACGTACTAATATCGTGTATGTTTGATTCTTTGTATTGTGAAGAGGAATTCACCCTGAACATGCAATGTCCTGAAGGGAAACAGCAACAAATAGTAATTAGAAATATCTTTTTGTGGAGAGAAGATGTGAGAACTTCCCCTGTAATAGGCAGCACATACACATATTTTCCAGAAGAGAGATGTTCACATCAAACATTGGACATGTATCTAGCGCAGGCATAGGCAAACTAGGCTAGATGTGCCCCCTGGGTGCTTACCTCAGAACCTCCTCATTTTCCCTGTCCTCTCAGCATAAGGACACGGTGGCCTGCCACATCCTTATGCAGAAAGGACAAGGAGGAAGGCAAACAGCAGCTGAGAGCCCTCTGGAGTATTCTCAGCCACTGTATGTCTCACCCTCCTCCCAGCATAAAGATAGGGGAAGCGGTCCCATCCTTATGCCGACAGGACAGCCCGAAGAAGGCAACCAGCTGCTGAGAGCCCTCTGTAGCTCTCTCGGCCATCACCTGTCTCACCCTCCTCCCTGCATAATGCCAAGAGAACAGTCTGAAGATCAGGGGAGCAGGATCGGGGTATTCGGTGCATGTCTCGTTTTCCTCCCAGCATAAGAATGGGGCGAGTAGCTCCATCCCTATGCCAGGAGGACAACCTGAGGATGACCCAGGCCCTGCTCTGCCTCCTTTTGGCTCCACCTTCTCACAGGCCCCCTCCCTTCTGGGCCCGCTGCAGCCAGCGCATGCCCCCTCCCTGGGCCTGGGCCTCTTGGTCAGGTCCACAATGTAGCCCCAAGGCAAAAAAGTTTTCCCATTTCTGCTCTAGCAGATGTGGGAATTATACCAGGATATCTTGATTGTAGACCTTGTGGAAATGGAATGAATCCTTAGAAAATTGATGACCCCATGTACTTTATTGCCCATATTAGATGGGGTGATGTCTAATTGGGTTTCAGAGTGCATCCTTCAGTAGCAAATTAATTTTCACAGTTCTGAAACAAGCTGTGAGATCTTTTTTTCCAATCCTGGTGCCTTTTCCAGGGACAGTGAAAACAAGGAAATTTTTGAACTTCCTTTAGGACCCAATACTGGATAGGCTGCACTTAACTTGGTAGATCAAATGCTGTTGCAGAAATAGGGCGACCCTTTATTTTAATAGCAGGCTTGGAGCAAAGTTTTGCATTATACTATCTCCAGACATCTTAAGGAACCCACAGAATGAATGAGGCACAACTGAATGTGCCAAGAAATCCATTTCCCCAGTCTGCAGGAGGGGGAATGTGCCAAAAGAAAGAGCAGATGGATGCAGCTGATTGGGATTCTCTGTTCGAAACACTTGGAACGGATTTCCCTCCTTGCCCCATGGATGATCAAAATGAAGAAAACCATATCTTGTCTATGGCTATAATTTGGAACTCATTTATAATGTCTTTAAAGATTTCGTGCTTTCAATTCATCACTTTTTGCCACTTGTAAGACTTCAAGGTTCTGCTTTGAAGACAGGCAATTCCCTAGGGCTTCTGCTAAGTTCTTCTGGAGTATGTATTTACTAAGATAAAATTGTAAAGCCGCAACTTTGAGGTTTTTAAAAGAGGATCCAATAACCATGCTAGGCATAAAATATGTATAAAATTAAGGCACACAAAGCACTGGGATGAATATAGTCTAGGCACTGAAGAAAAGTGACATCTGAAACATTTAAGGGGAAATTTTCTAGGTTTACAGAATATCCTCTGTTCATATTAGCCACTTCTTAGTGCAGCATGTATTTTAACTGAGAATTGTCACTTTGAGGCAAAACCACAGGACAGTGCTTGTAATTGTTTTCCAGATGGGAGTTCGTGTTGTTGATTCTGCAGTTGCTGGTTTGGGAGGTTGCCCATATGCAAAAGGTGCCACAGGAAACGTAGCTACAGAGGATGTGATATATATGCTTAATGGCTTAGGAATCAATACGGTAAGCCACTTTTAATGTATTTTTAGAAGTATACACAGTTTTAAAAAATGAGTGGAAGAATAGCATGAAATGCCTGTTATAATAACCATCCCGGTTCTACACAGTAACTCCAATTCGGTTTGAAGTCAGCTTGAGGGCGGAGTATCCATAAAATGTATACCCCCAGTATACATTGCAATGTGCATCACACATGGCCTTCACTTAGTCTTTCTCGTGGGAACTATTCCATACCAACTCACATCTTTCTTTATTATAGTCATAGACCAGCATAAGGGGATTGGAGTACAATCTGATAAAGCACAATACATTAAAATGTAGGCTAAAAGTTAAAATGCAAAAGTATATTTAAAAGCCAAAAAAAGGGATACAAATTTATTATTATTATTTAAAATGCAACCTCAAGAATTGCCACTTCAGTGGAAAACAATATATAAGCAACAAACAACCTTATTGAATAGATCTCCTGCATATGCACACACACATGCACACGCATGCACACACTTTCTTATCCATATAGAGGTGTGGTTGTGCACATACAAAGACGAAAACATACATTAAGACATGATAGCACCTTTAAATACAATAACAATCAAATTAACCTGCCTGAACCCTCTTACTATAACACCTATGTTCTAGGTCTATGAGTTTATTTTCTTATTTGCTAGCATTTTACAGGAGCTACTTACCGAAATTAATCATTGCCTTTTGTTTACATTTGATCCAAATGGTATCTTGGCTTCCTTTCATTTCAGTGTTCATGTTCTTGCTTTGTTGACTGAAATCACTTTGAAAAATGGGCACAATAAGTGAAATGCTTTTTTGAATATCCCACTATGCTGTCAGAGAAGTACTTAATGTATCTTTTGAAAGGATGTTCAGCATGAATGGACACATTGTCCATGAACAGAAGGAAAGACGAATTGGACATGTTTACAGATTGGTGTAAAGTTAACAAAGATCAGCTGCAATTCTAGAACATCTGTGAGAATTTACCCGGAGATAAAGTGAAGGTGCTTAAGTATATATTTTACAGCATTTGTGTGTCAATATCAGGGAGATTTTGCTGTCACATTAATAAACTATGCAGCACTGTTTCAGCTCATTCTCAAGGGTGTGTATATCCCACCAATGTATTAGGGATTGTATGAATTTAGACACTTCTGAGAAGCTCAGAATGAAGTGGATGAAGTAAGTAGAGTTGCCTAAAGACTCTGCCCCCATCCAGCAGGTTAATGTAGAAAAATGCAAGGGAGAGAAATAGAGTGCTGTGGGCTTGCATAGTTTTGGAGAACCCATAGACACGTTATTTGAAAACATTAAATTACTGCAGAGCCTGATGATCATGATTCTAATTCAGGTTTCAGTAACATAAAAGTCCTTGACAATACAACAACATCATAACTGGAGATAAAATTCTCTTTCTCTTTCTCTTTCTCTTTCTCTCCCAGGGTGTGAATCTTTATAAGGTTATGGAAGCTGGTAACTTCATTTGCACAGCCTTGAACAAGAATACAAATTCTAAAGTTGCACAAGCATCCTTCAATGGTTGAACCAAAGAAGAAATGGAGCTGTCTCTAAGAGTTACATATTTGGATATCAGTGAGCTCTATCTATTTACAGATGCATGTGGCAAACCCATTGCAAATACCATTTCAGCAGAAGGAGAAAATGCCAACATAGGTGGTATCTGGCAAGTCAATAGCAGTAGTATGTTATAAATTTAGAGTGAGAACTTCAAGTTTGAATGCCAAATGAAACCATCTTCCTTTTTTCTCTTAGACCTTTGAGATTGCCCTTCTGTATATGGTTGCAGTTTCATTGGGCCTCATCCAGCTTCAGAGCCCATAAGACTATTCAAATGAGTATACCTACATGAGGAAATAAGAGTATATGCTCACAGAAGTAAGAAAGAAAATGTACATTTGGGGGTGAAATGGTCCCCATACTTGTGTGTTCAGATGAGCATAACTCTAGGCAAATGTTTACTACAGGAGAGCATATGCATTAAGTGAAGTAGTCTTTACCTTGCAAAATATATCCTGTTATATATTTTTATACTTTTACAATGGTACAGTTACTTGTTACTTACTCAGCTATCTTTGGCTTCACAAGCTGGGGCCTGGCTTCTGCCTTTTAGAGCAACCTTTTTCACAGCATCCCTTCAGAGTAGGACAATCCGTTACACATATTCTGTCTGGTACCATCTGCTGAACTATTTAGGAAACATTCAGCTTGACCAAGGACTTGTCTACACCGATGGAAAAAAATCTGTTTCGGACCAGTTCTTGGTGGCATTGCAGCAATCTCATTCATGTTGTGTTGAGATTGGTGTAACCAACCACATGTTTTCCGTTGGTGAGTTCACTTCAGTGTAATGGGGTGACGTATATCACCAAAACTTTGTATTACTTTCAGCTAGTCTCTGGGTTACAATCAAAATAGGTTCTGTATATTAGTTCTCATTTTGTGTGTGTGTGTCAGAAGCAACTTGAGAAACTGCAATTCGCTTCTGGTGTGAGAGAATTTGCTGTCTGCAAAGATGTTGCCCAGGGGGTGCCTGGATGTTTTGATGTTTTACCATCCTTGTGAGAGGTTTCTCTAATGTCCTTGCATGGAGAGCTGGAGCTGACAGAGGGAGCTCATTTGCGCTCTCCCCGGATTTGAACCTGCAACTTGTCGGTCTTCAGTTCTGCTGGCACAAGAGTTTAACCCACTGTGCCACCAAAGGCTTAAGTTGAATTTGTATGTAAGTTGAACAGGCATATTTTTAAGTGTAACTTCATTTTCCCCATTTTGGATAGCATAGGAATGATTTAACCACCCTATGACATTTGTTTTGCTGTCTGTGCCCCTGTCCAGAAGACTTCACCTCACTTTGTGTCTATGAGACAATTGGATTTTGATAATTTGGGGTTGTTGGGGAAACAAAGATTTGTAATAAATCTTCAGTGGAGACATCTTTTTCCCAAGATAACTTTTAAAGGAATGCATTCCCCTTCCTAAGGATAGTTGTCTTTTCACTTCCTGTTGTCTTACTCCCATTTGTAACTAGCAGTTCTTAGTAAGTTAGATGTTTGTAATTCAGGATCTGCCTGTATATGACTATGGCAGCTCCACATTTTATTTTATTTTTTCATCATGCTTGTGAATTCTCATATTCCTGACATTTTCCTCATGGCCTGGAAGGACTCTGGCCATTATATTAAGTAAGGGGGCATATATATTGATATGCAGATATTTGCATGGGTGCATACACCCGCACTTTCTTAAACAAAATTTTAAAAAATGTTGATCATGCTAAAGAACTTAGAACATAAAGTTTAAACTGTGAAAAAAAAAACACTTCCTGGTGGAAATGATAAAGTTACTTCTTGGCTGAAGTCACCTCCCACCAGTTCGTCTTTCTTAGTAAAGGTAAAGGTTTCTCCTTGACATTAAGTCTAATCGTATCTGACTCTGCGGGGTGGTGCTCATCTCAATTTCTAAGCCCAAAGAAACAGTGTTATCCATAGACGCCTTCTAAGTCATGTGGCCAGCATGACTGCATAGAGCGCCGTTACTTTCCTGCCAGAGTGGTATCTATTGATCTACTCACATTTGCATGTTTTCAAACTGGTAGGTTGGCAGAATCTGAGGCTAACAACGAGAGCTCACCCCATCCTGCAGATTCGAACGGCCAACCTTCCAGTCAGCAAGTACTGCAGTTTAGTGGTTTAACCCACTGCAGCTCCATGGCCTCTGTCTTCCCTGCCCACCATTAAATCCTCCTCTCAGTTCCCTAGCCATGTCACTTTGGGAGAGTGACCACAAACCAAAAAAACCCTCTGTATTTTCAGGAAAACTTCAAAATGAAAGGCAAGCTTTTTGATCCAAATTTGAACCACTATTGCAAAGAATTGAATTTCAAGTGAATCTTCAGGCACATTGTGCATCCAGATCACAGGAGCTACAAGGTGAATATATATTTTCTTTCTCAGTGTAGACAACCCCTAAGAAAGATGCTTCACACCACTATCAAATTTGAAATTGATAAAATATGTAGTGTGTCACCACTTCAGATTTACAAAATATTCGCCTTGCTAGTGGTAAGACAAAAGGCACAGCATAGTGAATTTGTGATATTGAAAGTATGTGAAATTTTAAAGGTTCCGGCCAGATGTGTGTACCACAAATATCTAAAATTAAGTGCCAGTCTACTAACCATGTACAACCGATTGGACACTTTAAATCACTTTGGATACACGTTAAACAACATTTTTGTTGCTTGATTTGGGCTGCAAAACCAATGTACCGGTGGCTCATGTTGGTCACATGTGAAGGCCCTCTTTCAATGGACTCATTCGCATGTCATTAACTTTTATGTTCAAGCACTTTGAACAGAACTGGTTGCCATGTTCTAAAGATAGTAAGTACATTCTTACTTCTTAATGAAGCTGAGTTTTAGTGTCGTATAAATATTTGCAGCAGTCTATGAGGTCCATCAGTGTGTGTGGCCTTGCTATTATATATTTTATTACTCCAGATTGGCTTTTTTTCGTTTGCCAAGTCAATTATGCTGTGAACAGGGAGCCAAACCCAGATTTACTACGAGTAGCATATTTGTAATGTTTGCTATGGTTGACATCTGTTAAGGATATGAATGACTTTATCTTGTTCCAAGAATTTGTAGGAAGTGGCAGTTTGCCATGTTTTACAAGTTAATGGTGCCCCTTTGTAGTTGTTACAAATTTAGTTGTTACATTGAAATCTGGTTTTATCCCATTGAATAAAAAATTTAACAATGGGGAAAATACCATTTAGAGCTGCTGCTATATGATTTTCATTCATTTCCAGTAAGGGGATTTAAAATTGTGCTGCAAGTACATTGAAGCCAAAGATGGTGTGTGGTAGTCTGATAGATCGCTCCCTTACACAGTTCCGGTCATTAAGACAGTATTTTTCATGTGGTTAATAAGTGTGTCAATGGTGTGGATTTTTTAAATGAAAAAATAACATCCATGATCTATACTGTATTTTTGTTTATTTGTTCCGTTGCTTCCGACTCTTCGTGACCTCATGGACCAGCCCACGCCAGAGCTCCCTGTCGGCTGTTGCCACCCCCAGCTCCTTCAAGGTCAAGCCACGTTGATATACCCTATATCAAACAATAAAATCTGTCTACAGTACACAATCATATCAGTTTGGTGCTACTGTAGTTTGAGAGAGTACTTGTATTTCTCTATTGGGGAGATATTGCTAGAAATGCAGATGTTCTCATCTCATCATATTTGACTAGGCATTTTGCCCAGGATTAGTCTTTGTTTCCAGTAACATATGCATACACAAAATTTAGCAGACATCGTTCTCTGCATTATATCTCACACTCTATGTTATACTGCGTATCCCATATTCTTTATCTGTAGAGCAGCAACAAGGAAGTAAGATGTCAGTTCAGAGAGCTGAACCAGTCTTGGTGATGTAGACTCTGCCCTTCTGCTACTGTAGGTTAGGGATGAAGTGTCTGGCCACCTCTGCAACCAATCCAGGAGCTTTACTACTCTGGAATGCCTGTGAATTAAGCACCCAATGTATATAAACCCATAAACTGGCCTATGGAGTTGAAAGTGGGCCAGGCTTTAGCACAGCGCATTAAATTGCTAGGTGTAGAAATCTTGCTGCTCAAGAGGTTGGCAGTTCAAGCCCGGGTTGGGGTGAGCTCCCACCATCAGCCCACCTTCTGCCTATCTAGCAGACCGAAAACAGTAATGTGAGTAGATAACTAGGTACTGCTTTTAGCTGAGAGATAATAAAAGGGACCTGTAAGAACATGCTGGTGATTCAATAAACAGGATGTCTACAGACAACAAAGCTCCTCTGCATGGAAAATGGAGCGATAGCACCACCCTATGGCTGGAGTTGAGCACAGCATCCAAATGCTGGAGATGGAAAGAGGGGAATAACCTATACTTCTGTTTATGTATTGTCTGTCCTTATTAATTGTAAAACAGCATTAAATGTTTGCCATATATGTGTTCTGTAACCTGCCCTTAGTCCTGTCAGGGAGATAGAGCAGAATATAAATAAAGTATGTTGTTGTTGTTGTTGTTGTTGTTGTTATTATTATTATTATTATTATTATTATTATTATTATTAATATTATTATTATTATTATTATTATAGAGACCACAGAGGCCATGCAATCAAACCTCTTGAAACAGAGAAATACACAAAGCAATCCTGACAGACTGAAGCATGGCTAAGGGTGCATCTATACTGATACCACTAACAGCCATGGCTCAATAATGTGGAATCATGAAACTTGTAGTTTGAGGAGTCATCAGCCCTCTTTGGCATAGAACGCTAAACCCTCTGTAAAGCTACAACTCCCAGGATTCCATAGCATCGAACTGTGGTAGTTTGTGTCAGACTGCATTAATCCCACAGTGTAGATTCATCCTCAGTTATGCCTTTTAACTGTGAAAATTATAAGTCACTTGCTAATTGCAAATAGTAACTTTCAGTCCCTGATTGTATTTCCTCAATACATTTTAGAATTTAGAATTATATTTAATTTTAATTTATATATTTAAAACCATTGTATATAAAATGAGCTGTATATTTTTGTTTACATAAAATAGTACAGGTATGTGTGTGTGTATGTATGCATGTAGGGGGTGATCATAAAGGATTTTTCTTCTCATGTCCTCATTTTTCTTCCAGGTGTGAATAGAAAATAAAGAAACCTTATATTGTGGGTCATAATAGCTACTGTTGATTAAACAATGCTCCTGAAACACTATAGCATAGTGCGGTTTCACTGAATGCCTGTTATTTGCTTTCACTGGTTTATATTCTTTATCTCTAAGATTAAAAAGGAAAAGGAACACCAGGAAATAGCCCAATATATTACAAAACACTGTATATGTTAGCTACTGGTAACCAAACTGTCCCAATAAAGCCTTAGTAATTATCAGCTGCCTTTTCATCTTTTGTTGACATTATTGGGTTATAATCCATACTGAGTGCATTTACTTCTGTGCTTTCCCCCTTTTTTATTGAATGGTTCCAGGTTTGAGAGTGTTGACTCACAATTGATTAATTTTTTATCTTCATTACTCTGGACAAGTCAAATTAAGATGACCAAAGATGTTTTAGAAAAAAAGCGCCCAGAAAGGCTCTTTCAGCACAGTCATTGCTGAAAGACCCCACAATATGTAAAAGCCCCACAGTATGTTGACACCTTCCGCACCTCTATTCCTGATGGTTTGGAGCCTCCATTTGGACTTTCCACAAGTCAAAAGGTTTTTGGTTGCCCATTAATCTTGAACTGAATATAGACATAGGATCATATTTGGAAGGGGCCTCGTGGGCCATTGAGTCCAACCCACAGGGACAGCTGGCTTCCTAACGCTTCCCCCTGTTTGATGAGGTTGGGGAGAAGCCAGGACAATGCAGAGCATGGGGTGATAGGTCCCTATGCCCTGTGGGTGGGTGCCGCTGCAGCGATACTCGGCAATTCCAGGGGTGCATGTGAAGAGGTCATCAAAGAAGTCCACATCACCACAACTGATCTTGTTGTCAAGACATTCCTTTTGATGTTCAATCAAAATCTACCCTCCAATAACAGAAAACCACTAAACTTAGTTCTACCTTCAGAGGTAGTGGTTCCCAACTTTTGAAGCTCCAGGTGTTTTGGACTTCAACTCCCAGAAATCCCAGCCAATTTACCAGATGTTAGGAATTGGGGAAGCTGAAGTCCAAAGTACCTGGAAGACCACTGTTCTAAGGCAATGCACATACTGTGCCCACATTTCCGTGACAGCTCTTGGGGTATCTAAGGAATGCAATCATACCACCCCTCAGTCTTCTTCTGGCCCAGCTAAACATGACTAACTCCCTTAGACTTTTCTCATACATTTTGTTTTCCATACCTCTTACTGTCCTCATTGTCCTTCTCTGAACTCCCTCCAATTTACCTACATCTTTCTTAAAACAAGGTGCCCATAACTGAATGCAGAGCTTCAGATGAGACATGACCAGTGCAGAAAATAGTATGACTATTACTTCTCTCATCTTGAAAATTATGATTTTATTAATGCAGACTAAAATAGCATTTCCCTTCTTTACTACTGGCTCACAGTCAATTATTTTCAACAATAATTCCATGTAGTATTATTGAATCATGCATCCCCATCCTAGACCTGTACATCTTGGGCTTTTTAAATTTAGAATTTTGCATTTGTCTCTATTAAATTTCATTTTATTATTTTCATGCCCAATTTTCTCGATATCTAGCTCCTTTTGAATTTTGTTCCTATCTTCTACCCCTGTTCCTACTAGCCACCCATCCCAGTTTTATGTTATCTGTAGACTTGATAACCCATCATCTAAGTCTACTCCATCATCTAAGTCATTGATAAAAATGTTGAAGAGTAGAGCCCTAGCACAGAACATTGCAATGCTCCAGTTGGGGGGGTCTCCTTCCAGTTTGAAGCACATCCACTGACGATGACTCTTTGAGACTGGTTCTCCAGCCAGTTATGGATACATCTGACATTGTTCCCATCCATTTTGCATTTAATTAGTTTGCTAATCTAAACATTATGGATGTCAATAATGTTTGATTAGTAAATTTTGGCTGAAATTCAGATAAGTGTCATTCACAGCATTTCTACTAAGCTAGTGTTGTGAAAGAAAAAAAATTTCAGATTAGTTTGGCAGAATTTGTTCTTGGCAAACCCATGCTGACTTGCACTATTCACTGCAATGTCAACAAGATGCAAGCAGGCAGACTCCCATATAATCCATACTAATATTTTTCTTGGTGTCGAGATCAAGCTGATTAGTCTGTAGCTTCCTAGATCTTCTTTTTGCCTTTTTGAAGGGAGGAATATTTGCCCTTCTCCAGTCCTCTGGCACTTCCTTGTTCCCCAAGACAAGAAACATTAATCAAGGGTACCGGTACTAGAAATGATCTTGCATACAGAAGGAACAATTTGAATTAGTATTGCAGCTCTGAAGAAACAAGATTACAGTTCAATAGGGTACAACTCACTTGTGAGTAGATCCTTCTCCAGACCTTAGCTGATTCTTTGGGGATACAAAAAGTTCCTATAATAGGTATGGAAGAGAAATGACATCCAAATTGCTTCAGATTTATCTCTTGACATTTCATTGCTCCACAGTCTCTCATTTTGCAAGTTTTTCTGAGGCAACCAGTGTTTGTACCCTATCTCTTTTCTTACCGTCAAACACTATAACATTTTCCACAAAGGTACAAATCCCTGTTCTTACTAATTTTTTGTACACCTGTATACATGCCTAGTAAATGTGAAAACTCACATAGGAGAATTAACTTATTTTGGAACACTGTGTAGCTTTTAAAAATGTAATTATAGCAATAATGTCCAAATCATTCATGTTATCTCAAGAAACATTGGATTAGAAATACAATTTTTGTACTTTTTTCATACAGACAACATTTAGTTCTGTTTTTATATATCTCTGGGATAGTTTCTTATGCGATGTCATAATCTGAAGCAGATCAACTAAAGTAGCTTCAATGTGGTAAGTTGCCTAGAGTTTACTAAAGAGGCAGATGTGTGTTATGGATTTTTCTTCTCTCTCTTTTTCTTCCTCGGGAGATCTTTCATAGTATATGTGTAACAGACTGCCAAATGAGAAGAAACTGTAAGAGCTTTATCGACACAGTTGTTGCTCCATGGTTTCCGGAGATATCATGAGTTTCTCAGATAAATGAGCCGGTAAAGCCGCCTTTTCTTGATAAGTCCTTGCGTAGGCTCTGCAAACAAACAGACATGTTGTATAATATCATTGTCAATATGTATGAAACACGAGTTACTCAGGCTAATTCTCTCTGCCTCATTGATCATATTGCTACTACTATTTCTACCACACCTTCACCACCCTAACAACAAATCAATGTATCACATCTTGGAAAATCTAAGATTGGATTAATTGCAATTTCCCACCCTTCAGCAAGCATAACCAATTTCTTCCCACGTTAAGTGCTAAATTTTCTCTTGAGTTTATATGATTTTCTATTCTTTTTCTCAGTGTGATGGATTTTCCTCACTCCCCACATATTTTTCTAGTTTATTGGAAATTGTGAAATGCTTTCTTTTCTTTTACTATCATGTCGAGACAGCATCTAAGAAGATCCTCTCAGACACTCTCCTGTGTCCTCACCAGATGTACTTGTGAGGGTGATGGGACACAGAGAAGGGTCCCCCCAGGAGATTTCAAAGCACAGCCTGGTTTGTAAGGGATAACATGGTCCTTCAGATTACTTGGACCTGAGTCATGTAGGGCTTTAAAGGACATAACCAACACTTTCAATTGTGCCTGCAAACAAAGCAGCAGTGAGTGATGCTGCAACAAAGGGGTTATGTTTCCTATAGCCAGTCCCAGTTAGCAATTTGGGCACAGCTCTTTGGAGCAGATGAAGTTTCTGAACACTCTTTTAAAGCAGCATTCTATGATATAGCAATCCAACTGAGAAATTAATAAGGTGTGTCACTGTCCAGAGCTGACATCTTAAAGAACAGACACAGCTGCCACACAAGTTTTAATTGTGCAAATGCCACATCTTAATCCTGAATATCCAAACTCAGAGTTAAATTCAGGAACACATTCAAGCTGTAGGCTTGCTTCTTCAGGGAGAGTGTAGCCCTTAAATCCCTATTGCTTGATCTGCCTTTTGACTGATCAGGAGTATTTTGTCTTGAATGGATCAACTTGTAGGTCCTCATCCAATTTGTTACTGATAATAGAATCTGGTTTAGAACTAAAACGGGTTCCTTGGTTTGTAGTGGAATGGGATAATAGAATTGTGAGTCAACCACATGGCACCAAGCTCATCAATCCTTGACAATCTTTCCCAGCAGTAATATATATAAGTTAAATAGCATGGGGGCTAAAAACAAGCCCTGAGGAATACCATAGGTCAAAACCAAGGAGGCAAACGAGTTCCCAGCATCAACTTCTAAATCTCTGTAGGCCGGAAAAACCTACAACAACCCACTGATAAAATGGCTGTAATTCTCTGAATGCTTGACAAACAGTACCTATACACACCTCCTGAGTGGACTTTAAGCAACATAAACTGTAAAAACTACCTGCTTTTTAACAAGGCCAACACGATTATTCCCAGGATAGGGATCAGGCAAGAGATGTATAAAATAATCATGATGGTGGTTTCATCTAGAGTAAAATTGTGAAAGTAATCAGGAGATTAATCAAAGAGTAAATGACCTCTTGTCAGTATTTAGAATACATAGTAAACAATATGAATCATACGGAACTACACATTTTTTCCCTCTCTAAGTTTTACAGAGTGAGAAAAGCATAATTTTTAAAAGACAATCTCTCACTATTTTTCTGAAATTATTGAGCTTTCAAAATACAAAACTGCTTCATTCTAAATCTGGGCCATGTCTTTAACTGCATTGCAAAGACCTGTTTCAGATATTAAGATCCCAGAAGATCAACAGCATTGCTTACTATAGTACCAACAATTGTATTAACACACTATTTCAGAAGACATTGTAAAGAATCAAAATGATATCTTGGTATAGGGATGGAATGAGAGTATTTTTTTTTATTCTTGTTCCATTAGGATCTGCCAGTAACAAAGCTGAGCTCTTGAGGCATAAGTGTTTTCTATTTAATGCAAACTCAGACAATAAACTCTTCATTGGCCTAACACTATTTATTGTTTTATATACATTTGGTCTCGTAGATTCGAAGACCCAATGCTCCCAGAATACCAACAGCATCTAGAACAGGCATAGGCAGGCTTTGGCCCTCCAGGTGTTTTGAACTTTAATTCCCAGAAATCCCAGCCATCTTACTGGCTGTTAGGAATTGTGGGAGTTGAAGTCCAAAACATCTGGAGGGCCAAAGTATACCCATGCCTGATCTAGAAATACATAGGTTTCATTTTTATATGTTTCTTTGTTGATTATTTTATCTAATCAGGTCTGTCCACATTTCACTTGTACATGTGATATGTAACTAACCAGCTGAATTTTAGCTGAGTCTCTCTCAAACACAGACATAATCATGGAAGCTCGACTAGAAAGCTTATGAGTTCTTATATCTGTAAGCTGCAATGCAATGCCAATTGGTCACAGTGTGCCTTGGTGTTACAACAGGCTATTCTAGTTTGCTATTTATGCAGAAGATTCTTTGCCACATGAAAAGGCCATGTATTTTCTGCCACCTGCACTTTAACCACCAACCTAAATATGATACTGCCTGCAGCTTTTTGGAAAGTAGAGATGTGAATGAATTGACGATTCAGTTGGGCCCACTTGGATTTATGGACTTAATTATTTCCATGTCTCAGGCATTGGCAAGGCGAACAGCTATGTCTACAAGACTTCCCAGGGAATCCTTTAAATTTGGCAGACTCCAGGAGCAGGCTATATCAGTATGTTGAAAATAATGTTGAAAAATATTTGGTTTTGTTGGCTCTTTGGGGGGATTTATTTTGTGCGATTCATGCAACTTTTCACAATGCGATGTTTTTGACAATGGCCTGAAATTGTTAGTTGCAACAAGAGGTGTCCCATTGACTCAATGAAATATACCTGTCTGCTGATTTGCCATTCAGCAATTGATCCATTGGGTTTACTGGAATTGGGACTACCAATATTATTTATTTATTTACTTCATTTCTTCCCCACCTTTCTCGGCCCAGGAGGGGACTAAAGGTGGTTTACAAATCCGGCAAAAATTCAGTGCCGCAAAGGTAAACAACAATAGGATTCAGATCCATAACTTCTACTCCATTTTTAAAAAGTAAGCTTACCATATAACAAAAACTGTTCACCAGTTGCAGGAAGTAATTTCCCATGTGATGAATGAAGTTCTGCCTTTCCACCTGATATCTGATCTTTAAAAAAGAGAGGATATAGAAAGAAGTCAACAGTATGGAACAAACAATACCTGTTGCTAGACTTCTCTTTAGGATTTCACCCATATATCTATACTCGTTTACAAATTACTCAATTTTATCAGATGGCCACAAGTATTTCACTTGTTAAAGTGATTGATCTTACTTTGTTGAACTGCTCATCACATATACTGCTGTCTCCCTTTTATTTTTATTTTTTTGAAAAAAAATAGAAAAATAATTTGTATTTATAAAGATTTAGGGTTTTTTCAAACTTGTTGAGTCTTATCTCTTGTCTGTACATAATACAGCTTTGATTATACAAGCATTTGGCAATTGCTGTTAACACACTACATGAATACAAAGCAATCTTTATCACCAAACTCCAATTTTCATTAAATGGTCAGGAGGAACCTTGAATCAAGCACACTCTGTTGTCATTCAGTGAAGTTGTGTATAGTGAAACTGCCTCTTTATACATCACAGCCTTAATACAGAAAGATATCCTTGGAAAAGTCACCCAAAATTAGTTTGGTAATTCATGGTCTGCATTATTAATGTCCATTGAGGATATTTACCTTAATGGTGTGGGGAAAGAGTGAATATGTTGGCCCTCCAGTCCAAGCAGTGTAGCCAGCAATGAGGGATTGTGTGAGCTGAAGCCTAAAATGTGTGGAGAGCAAAACATTCCACATCCTTGCTTTAAGACATGAGAGAGATTTTGTATTTAATGTTCACATGTGAGTGGAGGGCTAATGTTCCTCCTCGTTAATGTTTGTCCTCCTTCCAGAGGTTAAGGAATGGACACAAGTATACTAAGAGGATGCAAACATGGCCCATGGATGTCTCATGTTTTTGCATGCAGTTCCTGAAAATTGGCACAAAAATATCTCAGCCATCTGAAAAACCTATAGAAGGGTGTTAAAGTGAGCAAATTTCTGTAGGCTTGTGTAAAGAGGTTCAGAGACTGAAGGAATTTCTGGGTGAGAGTTTGAGAGTTCTCAAGAGGACACAATAAATGAAATCTTCAACTTACTGAAACAGGGTTTGCTGTGGAATACGTGATGGAACCATTTGCAGGTAGCTTGATCCTCCACCAAAGTGACGTCACAAGTACACTCAACTCGAAGGACAGACCCCCATAGGTTTATGTAAGCCTCTCTGCACTCATCACTGTCAGAACAAATCAGATCATTTCTATCCAAAAACTGTAGACAAGTTTCATCTTCAAGGCATGTTTGGCTGATGTATTTTAAACACTTTGATGTAAAATTCTTGTATTTGTCCCTGTGGAAACAAAAGGAAATATGTATTCTTTTGCTTTGTGGGATGCCTAAAAACAAAACAAAAAATCAGCAAATAACAAAATGAATGAGAAAACAGGCATTTCCTTAGAGATAAATGACAAGAAGAGAACTGGAAGTACATTGTTTGGGCATCCCAGTTTTTGTCTTTAACCAGATGGATGTTTATCTATTTTTGCTAAGCACTGCTTTCTGCTCCTGCTGAACTCCCCAGTGGGTTCATAGACTTAGCATTCTGGATTTCTTCACACTCCCTCCTCACTGCACAAGAAAGATAGCACTACAAAGCTACATTGAATCAAAAAATTACATTTCCTCTCCATGGGTTGTCTCCTAAATACAGTTAAGAGCTCAGAAGGTTGAATCTTCTGGTCTCTGCTGCTGCTTCCTACCCAGCACTGTCTTGTTGCTTGCCATGTTTTCAGGGGAAATATGGATATGATGCTATTGTGAACTTGGCATAACAATTATTTGTAAAACTGGACACATGCTTCATGGATACTGATGTTAGAATTGTTATATCAGGGAAAGAGCAGTAGTAGTGGCGGCAGCAGGGAAGAATATGTTAGCTTCCCAAAGTCTCCAGTAGAAACCCAAATCCCTGATTCATTGAGCATTGCTTCTGATATCAAATTTTAGAATCAAACACTAAACTGCTTGGACATATCCCTGAACACTGTATTTTCACTTACCAACAGAAACTGTCTGCTTGGCATGTTTGAATTACACTAAGACACGAAGGTGCTGGAACCACGTGGCCTGCACATGACTTGCCATGAAGCACTTCTTTGGCTTGGTGGCAATTTTCATCCGACTGCATGCAATCACAAAATGTCAACATTTGGGCAACATTGAAAGGCATATTTTTATAGAAAAACTGCAGTGCTGCTTGGCATTGTTTCACATTGCACTGTGATCCGTTTGCTTGGCAAACTTGAAGATACAAAGCTAATTGTCTGTTACAGACTTCATCACTAATGCATTCCACATTCAGCTCAAAACAGGACTGCCGATGTTTGTACTCTGAGGAAAAATGAGATTATAAAATTACAAGGGAATGAAAGGTTGAAGTCCAACATAAAGCAGACAGAGTGTATTGATGTAGGATAAATTATATCCACTCTTACTGCTCCAGCAGCTCCTAAATCCTGGGATCCCTCCTTCCTCTGTTCCTTATTGGTAGAAATGGAAAGGCAAGCAAATCAAATACTGCAGGGTAGGCAAATCAAATACTGGTCTCAACTCAGATGGAGTGAAAAAGAAGACTGCATTCCATGTCTTTTGCCCAAAACAACAGCAATTTCATGCTTTTGCTTGACAAAATACTGCTGCATTATCTGCCTTCAAATCACTCCCTCTAGGATTTGTTCCCAGTCAGCTTTAATGGCTCTAACCTATATTGTCTTAGAGTTTAGAGTTAATGTGTACGTTCACCAATGAAATTGGCACCCACAGCAGATACTTTTTCTCCTACAGTTCCTTGTACATTCAACTGATTTGCTTTAGATGGTGACATATCAAGCTCATGAACCTGCTTTCCTTTGGCTCTCTCAAACGCATTTTATACAACAGTGAATTAAAATGTCATCTTTTATATAAAATGACGAACAAATGAAACAAGAGTCAGGGAGTGCCTGAGGATCAGTGCAATGCTAGAAGGGTACACTGGGGTATGCCTGCACATCAGGCAATGCTTCCAAGTCCACATTCCTGCTTGGGTTTCTCAAATAGGTGAAAACTTACCTCTGTCACCACACTTTTAGTGAGTGATGTGGGGCTGGCTGCCAGGGATTTGGGGGATTGTCTAGGGTATTTTAATTGTATTATAACTTTTACAGTCATGAAATAAAATTTTAATTGTTTTTAATTTTTATATCCATACTAGTTGTCCCCTGCCATGCGTTGCTGTAGCCCAGTCTATGTATATGTGCTTTGTGTGTGTATATGTGTGTGTATATATTTGTATATATGGGTATATACGTGTGTTTGCATATATATGTGCATGGTTTTGTGCATGCATTTATTTATTTTGTGCTGTCGCACGTTGGGTCTGTGCATAAGACTGTAGACAGGACATAAATTCTGTGTGCCCAACGGGACGCCGGGGCTGCCTCAGATTAAAGGTTGGATTTCCTTAAAACAGAGTCTTTAGATTGCTTAAAGGTTCAACAAAGTTCTTTATTAATGAAAACAAACAGGTACTTTAAGGCTTTCTTAACAGTCTATTGGCTCTCTCTCAATCTTGTCCACAGGGAACAGGCACTATCTTCATAACTGTAACTAATGGGGAAATCCTTAACTTCTAATCTGGGCAGTCTGTCTTTGCCTCTGATGGCGTGGAGCCCCTACACCCGGTACCAACTGCTTCTGGCTTCTGCGAGTGACCCTTACCAAGCAGAGCTTTGTAGACCTCCAGGGAAAAGGAGTTCAGGTTTCAGTGATGGTTGACTGAAGTCCCTCCACAAAGGAGCTGTAAGGCTGTATGATCCTCGGCCAAGCTGTGGGCTGTATAACCCCGGCCAAGCTGTAGAAGACGAAGCTTTCTACAGGAGCTCTTGGTATTATGTCCTGCATGGAAAGCTTCTCTGTGTGGACTGACCCAAAAAGGCTCCTATTCCCTCCAAAAACCCAAAAAGGGGGCGGGACCAGGGAACCTAACTATAATTGACAGGTGGCTTGCCCTATGATTGCAGCCAAAAGAAGCCACCTATCTGCAGAGTCCCTGAAACTTAGGACTACAACAAACATTCAATGCAAAGCAAACAAAATTGGAGCTCCTGGTACAGTTGTACCTGCACATATTTTATTTATTTACTGTATTTGTATACTGCCCTTCTCAGCCCTCACGCGACTCAGGGCAGTTTAGAATGGCAACGATTTGATGCCCAAATACACCATAAAACATTTAAAAACATTAACACATAATATAAAACCATAACAAGAATATTAAAACATAGATCATTTGTGTCTCTTAATAAAAAACGTCGCATCTTGTCATCCAGTAATTCCAATTCCTATGTCTTTTACCTCACATTTTCAAACACTTGCTCAAACAACAGGTCTTGACCCTTTTCCGAAATGTTAAGAGGGAGGAGGCCAATCTAATGTTCCCAGAAGGGCATTCCATAGCCGAGGGGCCACCACTGAGAAGGCCCTGTCTCTCATCCCCACCAAATGTGTTTGTGACAGGGCCTTGTAATGCAGTTTTAATTTTTTTGGCTTTTTAAGTCTCTTCTGCTGTGTTTTTCAGTGTTTTTATGAGTGATGGTTACTCCTTGACCTGATATGTGTATTGTGTCCAAATGTGGTGACAATTTGTTCAGTGGTTTTTGAGTTATGTTAATCCCACAAATGAACATTACATTTTTATTTATATAGATAGATGTGTTTTTGTGTATGTGTGTTTGCCTTGTTTTTACATTCTATTGTATTGTGTCTATCATTGCTAGCCACCTTGTGTCCCTACAGAGGAAAAGGTGGGATAAAATAGTAAATAAATAAAAACAAATAATTTAATTGTGCTTGGAAATGATCTGGTAGTAGAGGGAGCCTTGACAAAATGGCAAAGTGAAAAACAGCCTCCTCATTAAAGTCCCAAGAAGAATGTTGCCAGCTAGAGTTGCACAGTTGGACTGATAGTTGCACGGTTGGACTGGTGGAATTTTCTCCCTGGTATGGGAAGATTTGAGACTCTTCACATAAGCTCCAATTTCTACTCTCTTGTGCTTGTTTAGGCATATGTTTTGACATTGCCCTATCATGGAGACAATCAGACCTAACAAGAATGAGGTCTGCCATAATAGGTGATTGCTGTGTCCACAGCATAAAAATGACATTTTATGTTTTAACAAAGATAAATTGAAGATTATCTGAACTTCACTCTTGTATGTTTAATCAAGAATCTTCCTTTTCAGAAACTGTTTTTCAGAAACTGTATCAGAATTGATATTTACCATAGTTTGAAAGAGCTGAAGATTTCCACTGTGATTTTATTTTCATTGTATCTGCAAAAAAAAAAAACAGATTCATATGTTTGCAATAATAGAGGAAGAGGAGAAGAAGAATGAACAATACTAGTAACACTTTTAAATGTATCAGTAACAGTTTTAAAGGTACCAGCAGAATTTCATTAAGCTTATTGGCAATAGTAAATATGCAATCACTTATCATTTTATTTATGGTAATAAATGTTTTATCAAAGTAGAACTATACGTGCTATTTGATTTTCTTAAGTGGAGACATTATTTACAAGTAGAGGTCCACAAAGTAGGAGCAACTTTGCCTGGTGTCGTTAATCTATTTTCTGCCAAGAGATTTCTTTGTAGATAGACTGGGATATATTTGTCAGTTACGAGGCAAACTGGAATAACAGATGTCTCAGATGTGAATCCTTAGAAGGAGTGGACCATTCACTAAGCCAATGTTCTCCTCTTGAATCCAACTATGGAATTTTTGCCATGTTATTATCAGAAGGCTACCATTAATGACATTATACTCTTTTATAAGTGTGCATGTGTTTTGTGAAATCAAAACAGTGAGTCAAAAGACTGACTCTCAGTGCACAACACCTTCTTATTTATCTCCTGAGCATCATAATAAAACCTGAAGGGTAAAAGAGCTCCTGTTTCATGGGAAATTGTAGTATCATCAGCTTTTTAGTATAGTGTTGAATGACAGAGAAATTCCAGGAAGTTGAGCTGAAAAGTCATTATAAATTACTATTGTTGTAACCACACACAGAGACATAATCATTTGAATGCATTTACCTGCATTGAGCCTTTGAGCTCTCTCGCCTGCATAGTTTTGCTTGCTCCTTGGTGAGGCCTGAAACATCTCTGTGTTGCCTAAACATGTATTGTTAAAGATGATTTTCCAGATTTTAGTGCACCTTTTCTGCATTGGCTCTGGACAAGTGCAGTTCCCCAGGATTGTCCTCTGCAGCTCCTTCCATGCTCTGAAGCATTGCTCCTCTGCCATTGGACGGCTACAATGGGCTGTCTCTGCTCTGCAAGCCTTCAGGAAATCCTTATAACGCATTGAACAGTAGTCATCTCTTTGACACATTTCCTTGGCAACAAAGCAGTCATTGACACCTAACAGGCCAGTGGGCCCTGTTATTTGTGGTTTTGTCTGTTGTGAAAATTTTGGTGTAGATGAGGAAGGCTCTGGCTTTCCTATTGAGAGACATTTGATAACAATAAAAGTTTGGCTAAATCAGTGGTAAGGCAGCATATTTCAAACCTTTCTTCCCCAACAACAACTAGGTAGACTGAAACAGCCAAATAGTTCCAAGGATGCCTTATTTTAAAGGAGATTTATGTTTTTAAGGTTTTGTGTTCCAAGACTCCAGTTTACTCAGATTACATTCCCAGTATGAGGATCCCTGGATTTTATGACATCCACCAAGCCTAGTTCAGATGTAATGATTCTGATGTAATGATGATCCTGCAAAATTTATGATCTTCTCCTATGTCGAATTTGGCCATTTCTGAAAGAACATGTTTACAAGCACCTCAAATCAAGGATTCATTTTCTTTTGTCACAATGTCATCCTTGCTATCAAATCTTTTGTATCATAGAGAAAAAGACATCTCTTACCTTCACGATTAAGGCATTGCTTGGCCTGGAATGTTTTGCTGCTGCACTTATTCTCTGTGCACATGCACTCCTTAAATTCTGGGAATTCGTCAACCAAAAACCGAATGACTATATTACAGTGAATTGAATCTTTCACTGTGCAGTTGTTGCCTGGATTAAAAAATATATGAGTATCATCCTAAGCAGAAACAGAAACAATGAAGCTGTAACAAACAATCCTCATCTACTCAGAGACTTTGCATTTAATCAGGCCATAGCCTGCCATATTTCTTTGGATGCATCTGATGAAGGAAACTTTCATCCAAGTTGAAAATTTTCCTTTCAGTTCTCGAGATGAGGCAGGGGCATTTCTATGGTTGGTTCAAGAGCAAACAAAAAAGACCCAAATACCACCTTATTTTAACCTAAAGCTTTTATTGGTAGAATCAAAACCTTAGGAGAGATATCTCAGTATTTGAGTATAGGACATGCCCTTACAAATGCTGATGATAACCTACCAAATGCTAGTGTTATGAGAACCCTGGTGGACCACACTGGCATTCTAGGTAGACTGAATCTCATCCTGAGAAATTAAGTCCCCTCAACTTGTCCAATCCATGGAAGGTGATTACCCTGGAAAAGAGCTATGGTCCAAACTAACCAACAAACGTGTGGTTCTCTGGAACCTTTTACAATGTCATTGAACCAATCCAGTTCTTGGATTAGATCCAGATTTAGTCATACCTAGAATCGTTGAGTGCCTTCAAGTTTTTTTTTCCAATTTAGGGTGACCCTAAGTTGATCCTTTCACAAGGTTTTCTGGCCCGAGAATGTTTGTTTTTCCCATAGTCAGTCTATTTTTCATGACTAAGCAAGAATTTAAGCCTTGTGTCCACAATCCCCCTGGCACTGTGTCATTAAATAATGGCTGAATTCAATCTACTATTGCAGTCTATTTCTGCAACTTTAAGGTTTAGAATCCTTCAATATCTCCTTTACAGTACAACTGAAACTCAGAATGGATTACACAGACACAGTGAGGTTGGTGTACAAGCCATCCACCACTGTGGTTTACTCCAGCTTTTCATTACTCATGAATGAATTTGATTATGATTAAATTGATTTATAGCCAAGATAATTGGTTTTTCAGTAGGGCAGAACATTTAAAATGTACTTGCTCATCAAGATTAAAAAAGCACAATGGGTTTTAGAAAGTTATGGTACTAGTTTAAAAAGATGCTACGGTTTACATTTTTAGTCTTGTGTAACCTCTGCAGGTTTTCCAGAGAATGGAACATAGCTACCAGGAAAAGGATGGAAGTGGAAAAGGGAGGAAGTGGCACATGTTCATTTTATGAGTATACAGTACTAAGATTTATTCACAGTGTTGATTCAGCAGTTAAAAGCCCAAAAATTGATTTATTCTACAACTAGATATTTCAATATATATAATTGTTACCTTTACTGCTGATCAGAAGAAAGTCTGGCAAAGATTCACACGAAAGAAAAGAGTCAGTTTTTCCTTCTGATTTAAGATTGGACTACATAAAATGTTTAGGGATATAGTGTTGTCTTGTATTAACTTAAGACTAGCTATGTACCTTTGACTAAGAGCAAACATTTGACTTAGATCACGGCTTATAGAATATGGCCAAAGAAGGTTTGGTTTGGTTTGGTTTTAATAGTTAACAACACTGTTATTGTGACATCAAGTCACAATAGAGATCTTTACAAAAAGAATAAATGGGAAGTATGATCAAGGGTTATGGGTTTTCAGTAACACTGTAGCATATTGTGAGCAAACAACTGCATTGAAGCCATAAAATATTGACATTTAATAGTTTTAATATACACCCAGATGTTACTGTTTTGTTCCAGAACATTTTGTTCCAGAACATTACAATCAATCTCTTTTAAAACAGTCTTGGGTTAAGTAACTTCACACTGCCTTACATTGGCATGAACATCAAGATGGAGGCAGACTCTCTCTCTCTCTCTCTGTGTGTGTGTGTGTGTGTACATATACACACAGATGAAAATCTATGGCAACAAAGGATTGACAGTGTGTGTATACACACAGTTAGTCCTTTATATCCACGGATTCTTCAACTACATATTCAAGAATCCTCTCCACAAAAACTGACATCAACACCAAAATGCAACATCATATTTCAAATGAAGCAGAGAGTGTTCAAGGATCGGGACATTAATAGGGCATATTTATAAAGCCCCATGAATGTCCCGAGGCTTGTTTATAAAGCTCTTTGATTGCAGGTGAACTACAAATCGCTGCAACTACAACTCACAAATGTCAAACTCTATTTTCCCCAAACTCCACTATTGTTCATATTTGGGCATATTGAGTATTCATGCCAAGTTTGGTTCAGATCCATCATTGTTTGAGTCCATAGTGCTCTCTGGATGTAGGTGAACTACAACTCCAAAACTTAAGGTCAATGCCCTTCAAACTCTTCCAGTATTTTCTGTTGGTCATGGGAGTTCTGTGTGCCAAGTTTGGTTTGATTCCATCGTTGGTGGAGTTCAGAATGCTTTTTGATTGTAGGTGAACTATAAATCCTAGGAACTACATCTCCCAAATGACAAAATCAATCCCTCCCCCAACCCCACCAGTATTTAAATTTGGGCATACTGGGTATTTGTGCCAAATTAGGTCCAGTGAATGAAAATGCAGCCTGCATATAAAATATATACATTACAATTCATAACAGTAGCAAAATTACAGAAGTAGCAATGAAAATAATTTTTTTGTTTGGGGTTCACCACAATATGATGAACTGTATTAAGGGGTCATGGCATTAGGAAGGTTGAGAATCACTGTTCCAGACCTTTCTTTCTCTTTCCATGTATCTTTACCCCACTCCTTGTTAAAACATCCGGTAAAAATCATCAATATTATTTTTAAAATCACATGAATATTGTTAGCCAACAATCACATTAAAATAAGACATTTTAATCCCAATCATACATACACTGGAGCAAATCTCTCTGAAATCTGATAATTTTATTTCTGAGTAAACTGGTTTAGGCTAGGATTCTGTAGGCCTGCAGTGTGACCTGATGCATGTTTGCCCGAAAGATTATTCTTGACTATGCACAAAGAGGAGTTGGCTGGCACATCAACAAGCAAGTAAATAGTCAAGCTCAATGACAGAAACATACACTACACCACCTTTAATGCATTTGTCATACGTTTATGTTAGAGCACAGGGAAGGAGAGAACTATTTTTCCTCTCCAATGAAATGTTGGAAGGTCAGCAAATGAAAAAGAAATGAAAAACATCAGGTGCAATTCAGTTCAATATTAATGTTTCTGAGAAGCAGATGAGACACAGAAAGTGCTGCTATTGTTATTGGAGCACAACATGTAGTTTTGTCATAGTTACCTGAAATGAAACAAACGTCTTCAAGTAAATTCCAGGCACTTCCACATCCATTCTCTGCTGTCATACATTTGTCTCTCAGCTCTTGACACCTGCTATTTTGAGTCACCAAAGTGGATGCAACCATGGAAAGTAGTACAAGTACTGCCAAACATAAAGTTCTGTATAGTATTAGATCCACATTTAGGCCAAATTTAGTGTTATATGAAAGTTACTATGATATAGTGGTTTGAGTGCTGGTCTACAAGGCTTGAAGCCAGGGTTCATGCACATGCAAACGTATGGTGCAGATGGAGGCAATATCCATGTGTAGAAACATACCATAGTAGATCTAACTCATTATCATTACAATACGTATTGCCTTGCTTGAAGGCTGGCACTTCATTTATTCTGTACAGCAACCTTCCCTGATTTGTTTTCTCTTGATGTGCTAGATTACAATCCTCATTGTCCCCAACCAGTAACTGAAATGAATACATACAGCAGCCTATATAGATGAGAGGAGCCCCCGGTGGCGCAGTGGGTTAAAGCACTGAGCTGCTGAGCTTGTTGATCGAAAGGTCACAGGTTCGATTCTGGGGAGCGGCGTGAGCTTCCACTGTCAACCCTAGCTTCTGCCAACCTAGCAGTTCGAAAACATGCAAATGTGAGTAGATCAATAGGTACCGCTCCGGCGGGAAGATAACGGCGCTCCATGCAGTCATGCCGGCCACATGACCTTGGAGATGTCTACGGACAACGCTGGCTCTTTGGCTTAGAAATGGAGATGAGCACCACACCCCAGAGTCAGACATGACTGGACTTAATGTCAGGGGACTACCTTTACCTTTACCTTACATAGATGAGGGAGGTCCTATTGAAAAAGGTATGGCATAAGTCTTGTTAATTTTGTGTCTCCAGGAGAAAATATATGATAATAAGGCATGGAAGCTGACTGGAAATTGACTAAAGTAGAAATATTGGACTATGGAAGGGGGGGAAGGTTATCATAGAATCACAGAGTTAGAAGGGACCTCATGGGCCATCCAGTCCAACCCCCTGCCAAGAAGCTGGAAAATTACATTCAAAGCACCCATGACAGATGGCCATCCAGCCTCTGTTTAAGAGCCTCCAAAGAAGGAGCTTCCACCACATTCCAAGGCAGAGAGTTCCACTGCTGAACAGCTTTCCTTACAGTTAGGAAGTTCTTCCTGATGTTCAGGTGGAATCTCCTTTCTTGTAGTTTGAAACCATTGTTCCACATCTTAGTCTCCAGGGCAGCAGAAAACAAGCTTGCTCCCTCCTCCCTATGACTTCCCCTCACATCCTTATACATGACCATTATGTCTCCTCTCAGCCTTTGCTTCTGCAGGCTCAACATACTTGGCTCTTTAAGCCACTACGCTTACATATGGGGCTTGTTCTCCATATGTGAACCATTGCATGAGGTTGGTCCCTTGTCTTGTGATATTTTCCCTAAATGGACAAAATTGAGAGAGTTTGCACTTCCTGCTTCCATGAAAAAATTAAACTTTATGTTGAATCTCAGCCATAATTCTGGTCTCAAATGACAGATCTATGATAGCAGCCATAAACAATCTACACTCAAATTATTTGCCCATTGAATTAATTTCCTTGATCCTAACATTTGTTTATTAAAAATCTCATACAATCATCTATGAAGACATTTCCATAAAATGCAAAAGAAAGGTCTTCTGAGCTTCCCAGCAATCCACAGGTTAGCCATGTGAAATCTATCAACTAGACATGCTCAGACTGTTAGCCATTAAGTGAAATTACTAAGGTTTACAATAAAATA